AATGGATGTTGGATTTTTTCAGGTGTTTTTCTGTGTGTCTGTTGATAGGATTATGTGATTTATCTTGGCTTGATATGATTTGTTACTAATTTTTTGAATATTGAGTCAGTTCTTGTATCTCTGGACTAAATCCCATTTAGCTGTGGTATATAATGTTTTAATATATGTTGTTGGATTTAATCTGCTAATTTAATTTAATGTTGTTGAATGTTTTTTGCTTCTATGCTCATGAGATACATGGGTCCTTAGCTTTCCTTTCTTTTAATGTCTGCAGAACATTTTCACCTTCCCAAATGGAAACTGTACCCATGAAACTCCCATTTTCCCCCTCCCCCTCAGCACCTGGTAACCACCATTCTCCTCTGTCTCCATGAGTTTTACTACCCTAGGTACTTTGTGTAAGTAGAATCACAAGGTATTGTTATTTTGTGGCTGGCTTATTTCACTTAGCAAAATGTCTTCAAAGTTAAGGATATCTTTTTAACCGTAGATTTTTAATTTTAATTCTTGTTGAGTGTGTACCTAAATTGATAGAGTTGTCCTTCGTCTGAGCTTGTGACTTGGGTCAATCATAATGTACCTATTTGTCTAGCCTCAGAAGAGAGGAGGAGTTGGACATGGGCTTAGGTAAGATGTTAGACAATTTTAAACTGTTCTAAGACTCTAATGTTTCTTAATTGTTCTAGGACTTGCAGGGTATTCTTACACATTGATACAAAAATAGTAAATGATGCTGGGTGGTCAGAATGTGTATATTGTATCCACAGCTTGGGTGTTGATTGTTCATAACCTACCTCCTACATTAGGTAGATTTACAAGATTAAGATTTTCATCCATGGTGCATTTGTGGAGAATGTCTCTCAACTAAGAAGGATTTTTTTCTTTTATTGTAGTGTTACTTAAATCTTTAATTTCATCCCTTTTGTCATTTTTCCTCACAGCTATAAGAAGTTGTTACGGCCTTTATTGTTCCAGCCCATCCATTGGAGTGTGTGGGTCTGCAAACAGGAGTTGTATGTGTTCTGACACATGCAGACCTGGCTGGACTACCAGCTCTTGTGTTTAAAAGTTTACCTAGCTGTTTTTTTACTTTGTTGCTAAGGAATGCTAGCTTTCCTATGGTAAAATAAGAATTTGTTTCTTATTATTTAGAGTAGGTAGGGGTTCTTTATTGACAATTACATTACATTGGTAAGTCTTTTGGCAAGAGCTTACGTTTATTCACTATAGTATTGGACTATATTTAAAGTTCAGGTGTTTTTAGATTACCTTTTACCATTAGGATTCATTCTTAAAGAACTTTTTATTTTACTGGAGGACTAAGATTATTTTTGGAATTTTGAATTTTAAGGCTTTTTTTTTTTTTTTTTTTTTTGGTCTCCACAGTAGTAAATAGCACCAGTTTACTGTTTTTCAGTTCTTAGATTTATTTTTAGTACCTTATGACAAACAGTATCTATTTTCAGTGAGGCTGCTTCTAGAATTCACTGGAAAGCTCCTGGAGGGCAGGAATGTATGTTCTTGTGCAGTGCTGTAGTCCTAGACCCTGGAACAGTAGCTGGCATGTGGTAGACATTCAGTGAGTACTTGCTGAGTGAAAGTATAAATGTATTATGGAAGTTACCAGTGTTCTTTATGATACAGTGATAGATTTCTTAACTTCAAGTTTTAAACCTGTGATTCTTTTTTTTCTTTAAAAAGATTTATTTTAGAAAGAGAATGCACATTAGTTGGGGGAAGGGGCAGAGGGAGAGGATCTTAAGCAGGTTCCCTTTAGGAGCCTGACTTGGGGCTAGATTTCGTGACCCATGAGATCATGACCTGAGCTGAAACCAGGAGTCGGAGGCCCAATTGACTGAGCCACCAAGGCGCCTCCTTTTTCATCATTTTATTGACTTATCGGTTTAGTGGTTTTTAAACATTCTATTACAGGGTAAACTAAGAAAAGATGATACATAGTCAATAGAATTTTTTTTTTTTTTTGAGACCTCAATTCTTTTTTAAAGTTTTTGAGAGGGTAAAATTAACAAACATGTTAGCCTGTGATTTAGGTCAATCTACTTTTTAAAATTGATATTTGCTGTCTATTTAATTGTTTTTAGGAATAATAAAAGGGACATATTTCTTCCATATCTCTTACCCATGTTTCCAAAGGAAACACACTATTAAGCTTAGTAATTAAAATTTTTTTACGTGTTCATTTGTTGAACAAATATTTTGAGTGCCTACTATAGCCAGGCATTATTCTATGTCTTGGGTATACTGTTCTGTGTTTTGAGGGAGGAGAAAGCAGGCAAAACTTCCTTCCTTATGGAACTTACATTCTCATAGAGGAGATAGAGAAATAAGACAGATAAGTGAAATGCAGAGTAAAGATCGATTTATCTAAAGGGTGGATTCTTTAAAATTACGCATATAGGTTGGACCTTTTAAAAGTAATCAGTTTGTTGAGTAGGGAATGAGAAGCCACATGTGAGAGCCAAAAATGGTGTAAGACACTTTGGTAGGAACTATTCGGTAAACAGAGTTGGAATTTCTAGTGTGCTCTTAAGACTTAACACAAGAAATGCAGCGCAATGCCATGTTGCAAAGATAACCACCTGTAGTGTCAGCAGTATTTTTTAGGAGTTGAGAAGAGTTGGAGTTTCTTGAGTGCTGGCTTAGGCCAGGCAGAGAACAGATGGAACAAAGGTATAGATATGCTAAACAACATACATATTTGTAATAGTGGTCATTTTGGTATGGTAGAAATTTGTGTTGTGAGTTAGCAGACTATAGGAGCAGAGGTTGGAAAAGTAAATTGAAGGTGGATTGTATGCAACAGATCTTTCAGTGGTTCTGTAGGTAAATGGGGGAACTGCAGGTGACTTTTTTTTTTTTTTCAAAGATTTTATTTATTTGAGAGAGAATGGGGTGAAGGGGCAGAGGGGGAGAATCTTCAAGCAGACTCCCTGCTGAGTGCAGAGCCTGATTCATGATCTCACCATGCATGAGATCAGGACCTGAGCTGAAACCAAGAGTCAGGTGCTTAACCGACTGAGCCATCTAGGCACCCCCGAAGATGACTTTTTAGGACAATAGCATGATTCCATTTCTTGTTGAGAAAATTAAGTGACTTTGGGGGAATGGGTTGGAGAGCATAGCATGGAGGTGCCGGAAGACATATTTAGAGCATCCAAAATATAGTCCAGGGGCAAGACCACCATTGTGTTTATTTAGGGGGTACCATTATTCCTCTTATCCTGTGAAGGGTCCCTACAGAAGTGTAAGTCCTAAGTACATAATGTGAATGGAGTTGTGCCATGCGGCACCTTTGTCACCAATAGAGAGCTGAGGGGGCCTTAAGATACTGAAAGGTGAAGAAGAGTCCAAGAGAATTTTATAATTGATAAGATTGGTAACCTACTAGGGATGGGAGTTTTGTGGAAGAATAATTAGAGATAGTTTGAAGTTTAAGGCTGATCTTCACATTAGGTGTCCACTTTTTTTTTTTTCCACCTTAAATCTGCTTTTCACAAATTGCTTCATCCCTCATTGAGCCTACCCTAAACATCTTTACTGGTAATGTGAGCTTTGTTACCTGTTTCGGACTATGTATCTAAGCTTATTAGAAGTATTTCTGAAACAGGAATTTTTCCTGTGGGGTTCTTTGAGTAAAGGGTATGTGGGCTAAAGTATAGGGATCTTGATACCTGGTGAACTTACTCATTTATTATGTTCCAGAATTAATTTTCCAGATAATTATCTTATAGTATATGAACTTTTTTTTTTTTAAACATTTTATTTATTTATTTGACAGAGAGATCACAAGTAGGAAGAGGCAGGCAGAGAGAGAGGGGGAAGCAGGCTCCCTGCCGAGCAGAGAGCCTGATGCGGGGCTCAATCCCAGGACTCTGGGATCATGACCTGAGCCGAAGGCAGAGGCTTTAACCCACTGAGCCACCCAGGCGCCCCAGTATATGAACTTTTATATTATTTCACAGTGTTTAATTATAGCTGTTTGACCCTATGGTTTTAGTTAGAACACTTTATTGTGGGAAGTTTTTAACTTAACCCAAAGATAGGGTAGTATTATGAACCCCAGTGTATGTGTCAACATTTTGTTGGTCTTATTTCATCTGTATACTTCCTGCCCTTTCATTTTTTGCTGGAATATTTTAAAGCAGATGCCAGGTATATTTTTTTGAACTTTGCTATTGTTAGTATTACCTACAATACTGTTACCACACCAAGCAATCAAGTACCGCCTAGTAAAACACCATGTCTGGGATCAGATTTTCCTTTTGGTTTTGAAAAAGGCTTTTCTCTTTCTTTCTTTCTTTCTTTCTTTCTTTCCTTCCTTCCTTCCTTCCTTCCTCTTTCTTTTCTTTTCTTTTCTTTTCTTTTCTTTTCTTTTCTTTTCTTT